TTWTWTTTTATTTTTTTAGATAAAAGCTGAATCTGCAGCTGACCTTCTTGTCACTCCGCACCAACGAGATGATCCAGGCGTCTCGTCTTCCCTTTCCTTCTGTTCATTTGCACGACTGCTCGTTTTGTTCTGACCGCATGCCTCCAAAACCACATAAGACGAGTGACCTGTCCCGCTGAATCAGTGTAGAGTCATTACTGAGGGATTAACTCTCACATATGTGCCTTAATTTCTTTTTCTTCTGCTTGTTTCATTTTGTTTGCTAACACAGTTGTGTAGAAGTTCAGTTCACAAACTTGAGTTTCTTAGATTATTTTTCTGCCCACTCTTCATGAACACCAGTGACACGAAGCTGCAGGTGGATCTTTTTTATCTTCTCTGCTAACAATAATCATTTTTCACCTTTTTTGTGCAACCAATCTGTCGCTGCCAGCTGACCGGTGCACCAGCAGAGGATCCAACGATGTGCCGGACTAAAGAGGGGGCACGGCAGGAAAGACAAAATAAATAAATCTCTGGTCGCCCACCYCCTCCTTCCTCCCCCCTCCCTCAGCCAGCCTTTCCACAAGGTGCCAGTGATGGCTTGAGAGTGCAGTGCAGTTTGCTGTGATAGACTGGAGTGTCTTATCTACTTCTTTTTTTTTTCTTTTGTGTGATATGAACTGAAGAGGGTTCTACTGATTGTGGTGTGACTCTGTTCCTATTATGGCATGGTTTGGGGTTTGCAGTGGCAACTGGTGGGGGCAGGGATAGAGGGGCAGACGTTTGGATAATGTTTGTAATATATTCCAATTCCTTTTTTCTTTATTATTTGTGCATGCTGTTTTTTTACTTTATTCTGATAATCTTTAATCAGATCACAGTCCTCACAGATCGTTAGGAACAAACGACTGAGATCATTTTAATCAGCATAACATGCAGCTGAAACACACTAAATGTGATGTTTGTTTGTGTCTCAGGTTGAGTTTCTCTGTTTTGCTCCAAATTCTTTTAAAGTGTGTGTGTGTGTTGGGATAGGAAGGAATTAAAGAGAAGTTTTTACCTTTTTTAGATGATCTAAGATGTGAGGTTTTCAATCTTAGAGAAAAGAGGGGAAACATGGACTGATCTATTTCTTTCTTTTGTGGATGAAGTGGCAAAAGCTGCACCTCCACACTCCCCCCTCACAGCCCTCATCAGCTACACCTGAGCCGGCCCACGAGGCCTGGCACGGCCCTGATGAGCTCCCCAGCCACTGTTAAAC